GATGTTAGCATCCCATATCCAGGCTGGTTCAAGTCCTGGCTATTCTGCTCCCTATTCAACCCCCAGCTGATAAGGCCATGAAAGCAATGGATCATGCCCCAAGTGCTTTAGCCCATACCACCCATGTGGGAGACCTGAATGGAGTTCCAGCCTTCTGGTTTTGGCCTGGTCCAGCCCCAGCTGTTGCAGCCATTTGAGGAGTGAACCAGCAGATGGACGATCTCTGTCTCTGTCTCTCTTTTGGTGTCAATTAACCTTTCAAACAAATAAATAAGTCCTTAAAAGAAGAAGAAAAAGAAGAAGAAGAAGAAGAAGAAGAAGAAGAAGAAGAAGAAGAAGAAGAAGTAGTAGTGCAGGTGGGACTTGATCCGGAGCACTCCAATATGGGATGGGGGCATTCCAAGCAGTGCCACAACCCCTGCCCATGGAGGCATGCATTTTATGTTTTGTTCACTCATGTGTCCTCAGTGCTTCAAACAGTGCCACCTGACTCATGATTTATGCTCAATAAGTATTTGTTAGATGAATGAGTGAATGGACAGATGCATGAATGGAAGTAGCATAATCCTTCTTGGTGAATGACAGCCCAGTCCTGTACTGCATAGGAAACATAGCTGCCACACCATTTTCCAAGTGATTTCCCTAATACAGTCTTTTTAAAAGTTGATTATGAATTTTTAAAAATTTCATAAATTTATTTTATTTATTTGAAAGGCAGAGATACAGAAAGAATGACAGAGAGAGAGAGTGAGAGAGAGATTTCTCATCTGCTGGTTCACCCCTCAAGTGTCTGCCACAGCCAGGGCTAAACCAGGCCAAAGCCAGGAGCCAGGAACTCATTCCATGTCTTCCACATAGGTAGCAGGGACGACCCAAGTACTTGGACCATTACCTGTTGCCTCCTAGGGTGTGCATTAGGAGGAAGCAGAAATCACAAGTGATGCTGGGACTTCAGCCCAGGCACTCTGACAGGCAATGCAGGCATCCCAAGTGGCATCTTAGCTGCTGCACCAGATGTCCACTGTATTAGACACTTTAATGGTCCATGGAACTAGTATCCTGAGGGGCACACTGCGAGGAGTACTTTTCTCAAACACACAGTGTCATTTGCATTAGTACCTGGTCGAGGGTTCACACCCAGAATACACCCTGGACTCTGCCACAGAGATCCCTAAGTGCTTCAGAAATGGGAGCTGGTGAGGATGGTGGCCCAGAGGACCTGCTCTGGCTCCAGCCAGCTCTTCACTCTAGGAAGCCAAGGAGTTTTGGGAAGGGGCCCATCAAGAGAAATGACAGGCTAGCAAGAGGAATCACAAGCCTGGGTCCTGTAAGTATGAATTCTATTCAGTAGTCTTTCACCATAGCCTTTTGTTTTTTTCACCTGCACATATCTTTACCTTATTAGTGAAACAGGGACAGCACTATTCATGATAACAATATATTAGAAGTGGAAATGATGTGTGTTCAAATCAGCTTCTGCCATGGATTAGCTGAATAACACAAGGCCAATCCTATTGATTATTAGGCTACAGTTTCCTCTCCTACAAAGTGGGAATTTAATAGCTCATCTCCAAGGTTCAGTGAACTAAGAAAAGTGCCTGTGTTCTTGATAAATAATAGCTGTCATTATTATTATTATCATCTACCAAAATGTAAGCTCCACAAGGGCAAATATTTTTGTTTGTATTGTTCATTGATATATCCCCAACACCTAGAGCAAGACAGCACAAGGGAAGTGCTCAGTAACTATTTGCTAACTGTTGAATGAATTAATTGTTGCCATTACTGAGATGCCTTCAAACCTTTACTTTGAAGAAGTTATGAATGTATACATAAGGAACTTAAGAAAGTACCTGAAGTGGGAAATGTTCTTTGTGTTGCTACAGACACACTCATCTCTGCTAAATAGCACCTCTCTCCCTTTCACCTAGGTATTATTACTCTAAGAATCACAAGAGACTGTCAAGATTTAGCTATATCAGCTCTTCTCTTCCTAATTAGACTATAACTTCTTGGAAGGCAGGGACTAATTCTTCTTTCTTTTATTGTTGCTATTCATCATTATACTTTTTAGTGCATACTGCTTATCTGACTCCTCCACCAAACTTGATCATGGTAGGTACCTAATAAATTTCCAGTGAGATGGAGATCCAAGAGAGGAAGGTTTGGTCAGAGATCTTCACTTCCCACATGGAAAACTCACTGAAGATGAGGAATTGATTTTACTGGGATACATGTGTCTCTTCCTAAAGCATTCTCTGCTTTACCTTTGCAACTTAATGAGGCTGTGAACTCCTTCAGACTTCTTTGGGGGAATAGATTTGAAAGAGGCACCTGAGAGAATAAGTAGTATGACTGTAATAGCATTCATTATCTCAACTGAAACCTATTCAAGGAACTCTTGCGTTGGGCCAGGCACTGTGCTGGGTTCTGCAGAAGATGTGGGGGAACATACAGAAATGAGAGGCCCCAGGGCTCAGGGAGCAAGTGATCCAGATCAGAGGGCAAGAAAGTGTACAATAGCTATAATAATAATAATACCAATCACATTGTTAAAAATTGACTGCATGTTGGGCATTATTAAAAAATGTTTACCCATATGACAGAATTTCATTTTCCCAATATCTCTGAGAGCTAAGCACTCTCATTTTCCTCATTGTACACAGGAGGAAGCTGAGGCATATCTAGGCCAAGGAAGGTCACAGAGCTGGAACTAACAGAGATGATGATATTCAAACGTGGGTAATCTCACTCAGCGCCGGTGCTCCTATGAAGTGTGAATAAGGAAATAACTTGAAAAAGATTAGTCTCTTCTGTTCTGGTCTTCTCTGAAACAAAATCATTATTTCTTCCTCTTTTGTCACCTTCAATGGTTCCACCCATTTTTCTGAAGGGGGGCTTGAGATAGCTGCATTGCTGTCACGGAGTCCTATCCTCCTGGACGTGCCTTCATCAGCGTTCAGGAAAGTCTTCGTTCACCTCCAATGAGTCGGTGTGAACGGGAGGCTGAGGAGAATCAGGCTTTCTGGGAAGTCAAGGAGGCATTCTCAAAGCCGGGAGCTGGGAGAAGAGTGTGCCTTGTTCAGCACCGTGGACAGAGCTGCCGGCTCTCTCAGCACCCTGGACAGGGAAACTGGTCGCACTGGCCTGGGGAAGCGAAAGGTGTCGGAGGGCGGACCAGGCAGAGCCAGAGCGTCAATTCCTTTTCCCTTCGCTTTTCTTCAGCCAGACCTCAGCCACCTGCGCTTGAATCTTAGGCACTTAAGTGCAGGGAGTGAATATATTTTAAGGGCGCTACTAACCAGGAAGATAAGACTTTTAAGTGGAGAGTATTACTATGTAAATAAAAGTTGCTGAACTCGGAGAACTCGCGAAAGATGTAAATTAGTGCTCCCTAATCGGGAGTGGGGCACTGCTGATGACACTCGTTCATGAAACGTATTTTTTAGGCTGAGTACCAAAGGGTAGCGTCCTGTCCCCCATTCCTGGCACTCAAGTTTGAGTTTCTCAGAGAGCACTCCGTAGGAAGAGGGAAATACTCTCTCCAGCCCCTGGCTCTCCCCACCTGCCCTCCCCCTTTTCTTTCCTTACCCCACCCATCCCCTCTCTGTTTCTCAAACACACGTGTGCCCGCGCGCACCTTCGGCCGCAGTGTGAGAAGCCCGGGGGGTGCCGCGCACTTGAGGGAGAAGCCTGCATTCAGAACAGCGGATGCCCTCGAAAGCAGACTCTGTCCCTTTAAATGGGTTGTAGCAGTGGGGGCGGGGAACTGGCCGGAGCTGGCATTGTCCAGTTTGAACTGAGCACCGGAAGTGAAGGGGCAGGGCCAGGGCCGTGCACTGAGCCCCGGGCCATTGTCCATCTCCGACCAGGGCAGTAGCCACCCCCCTGGCCAACCCGCTTTATCTCCTAGAAGGGGAGGCTCCCCCTTCAAATGAGGAGGACCCCCACACACACCCCAGCGCAGTTGCTCCAGGCTGGTGGGGCTCACTGAGGGAGGCGAGCACACTTGAGGATGGCGACTGAAATAAGGAGGGTCTAGGGACCCCAGAGGGACGGGAGTGCTGGAGGAAGTGCTTCCACCCACCAACCCACCCAGCCCCTCTCCGGCAGAGGACCGGGCGAGGTGGGGGCGGGGGCGGGGGCAGGACAAGAAGGCACTGGCCAGAGAGGACACACTCAAGCCTCCTTGGGTTCCTCCCGCTCTTCCCGCTCTACCTGGGCCAGTGCTAGACGCAGATTTGGAAGGAAGGAAATCTGCACACAAAATCGATTAGGAGCGCTTTCTCTCTTCTAACGAGGAGAGATTCCGAAAAAAAACTGAGTCGGAAACTCGGGCGCAGACTTTAGGAGGCAGCGCCTAAGTCAGGACAGGAGATTGGTGCTGCGGGGTCTCCAGCCTCCTCCCAGCACCCCCACCCTGGGCTTCCTGGTGTCCAGAACTCCAGGTCTATCTAAGCACACGGGGGGGGGGGGGCGGTGAGAGCGGGTCAGCGCCGAGCAGCCGGGTCAGCTCGGAGGCCGGAGGGGGAAGGGGGGAGGGGCGCTCAAGGGCTGGGGGAGGGGGAGGGCTCATCCATTTCTCCCTTGACAGGTGGTTTGTGTTTCTGATTGGCCAGCGCCGCCAGGCTCACACCTCCCTCCCCTAACTCTCTGGAATGTATAATTATCTGCGCGGGGGGTGGGGGTGGTGTGGGAGTGTGTGTGGGAGCAGTCACGTGGTTTTAAAACTACCCTCCCCAGGTCCCCCACCTGTATCTGCTTTGGGGAACCCCACGGAGACCTTAAAGTGCAGGATCCCAAATTTGTGGGTATCCCGGACGTCCAGGGCAGATGACCCCCGTTTCCAGATGTGTATGTGTTTGGAGGGGGTGTCACACCTCCCGGTTCTGAGAAGGGACACCCCAGAGGTGTCAGCGAGAGGAGCGGTGGGGGAGGGCCGGCGCTGGAGCGGGAGGGAAAGGGAGGGGAAAGGAGAGGCCGGGGAGGGGAGGGGGCTGCCCGCGGGGGGTTGGGTCATTGTCTTTTAGAATTTGGGAGCCTTTGAAAAGCCGTGGGCCCTCCCACCGCTATTGTGCGGGGGAAGATGTAGCTGCCTCTTCTCCGAACCACCCCTTTGCCTCCGGACTTCTCTGGGGCCAGCAGCCGCCCGACTAGGGGCCCGGGGCCGCGGGCTCTGCCGACGACCATGGGCTCCGTGTCCAACCAGCAGTTTGCAGGTTCGAGCTTGGGACTTGGCGGGGACACCTGAAGGTGCAGGGGCGCCCAGGAGCCACATCGGAGGGAGCTGGGGGAAGTGTCCCCTTGGCTGCCCGAAGGGACCCCCAAGTCGGTGCGGCCTCCCCGCTTCCCCGGGCCGTCTGGGAGCGAGGGACCCTGGGGTCCCGGAGGCGTGCGCGCCGGGGCCACGGGGGCGGGGGAGGAGAGGAGGGGCCTGTCGGTCCGGGAGTCCCCGGGCAGCTCGTTGTGGGAAGAGGAGCAAAACTTTAGGGGCACCACTGGCTCCGGCGTGAGCTTGGGGAACGCGGGAGGCGGCGGAGTTTCTTACCACCCGCCGCTGGTTAGCTGCCCTGTACTGGGTGTCCACCCGCGGGCCTGACACTCGGGTGGCCCTGCCCGATCCCTGAGGGGGCCCTCCGCGTCCGTGCCACCCCCAGCCCCAAGCTGAGCGCCTGGCCCTCCCTGTGTCCAGGTGGCTGCACCAAGGCGGCGGAGAAGGCGCCCGAGGAGGCGCCGGAGGACGCGGCCCGGGCGGCGGACGAGCCGCAGCTGCTGCACGGGGCCGGCATCTGTAAGTGGTTCAACGTGCGCATGGGGTTCGGCTTCCTGTCCATGACCGCCCGCGCCGGGGTCGCGCTCGACCCCCCGGTGGACGTCTTTGTGCACCAGGTGAGACCGATTCTGGTAACTTTGCCAGGGGAAGGGGCCTGGGAGTGCATATCCATGGGTGGGATGGCCTTGGATTGAAGGAGACCAAGCACCCCGTCTTTGCGTGACACCCTGGTTCTGTGTCCCGGTTAACTTCTACTGGACCATAGAGGAGGCAGCCCTGGTTATCAGCAACCCCCCTCCCGCCCCCTTCCGGGAACCCCTCTGGCTTACCACGTGTCTATTACCTCTTTCCCCTGGGAAGGGGGCAGGGGGCAGGGAGGTGACCCCATGTGGCAGAAACTAAGGTTGTATTGTGCCTGCCGGTGGGGGGAGGGTGAGCAGGACAGCCAGGGAAGCACATGCCGGGCAAAACGCGCCCAGCGCTTTTAAGGACCGAATGGAGCTGGTGGGCCGGCGGGATTGAGTGCCGGACGGGCTGCCCAGCCCAAGGGCGTAAGGCAGAGAAGTCATCCTCGTCCCCTGTTGAAAGCAGGTGGTCACCCAGAACTCAGGCTCTGGAGCCGGATAGCTTTGGCAGATCCCTGAAGGATCCACTGGGGGCTCGAAAACTCCTGAGCGCTCCTTACGGCTCAGGACGGGGCCTTTGCTTCCAACCAGGAAGGAAACACTGAGCAGCCTAGGCCCTAGGTTCCTAGGCTAGGCTGGGCGGGAGTTGGGTCAGTCACAACCCCAAGTTCTCAGTGAAAGCAGGGCAGCACAGTGGGGGGTGGAATTCAGTGTCGCGGGGCTGGGGGTGGAGGGAGGCTGGCCTCTGGACCTATTCTCAGTTTGGCATTTATGGCCCCAGACAGCCATTGATGGCTGTCCTAACATTCCTGGCCCCCCGAACAAGGAGCCCGGGACTTCAGGTCTGCCTGGCTTCCCCTTCCTGAGTGTCCTAGAGGCATTCCGGTGGTCCTGGGCCACCAAAAACCCCTAGCAACCGCGAAAAGGAAGTCGTGCCTGGGTGCCCCTTCCACCTTGGGCCTGGACCTGGAAAGAAGAAATTGCTAATCCCAGGCCCTGTGGGTTGACACCCAGGCCGGGCAGGGAGGGGTTACTTCGGGGAGGTTGGCGGTAGGAGCTGTGGGGGAGGGGAAAGGAGGATGTGGGGATTAAGGGTTGGAGCCTGAGGGATGGCATTCTGGAGGGGGAGGGGGGAGGGGAGATGCTGGGTGGACTGGTTGGAGGAAGCGGGGAAGTCTCAGCGCAGCCACGAGGAGGTTGGGTAGGGGACGAGGAAGCTCGAGGGTGCAGGACGACGGGGATCCACCCATCACTGTCGGGTCACTGGGGCTTCTGGAACATGTGCCAAGAGGACCGGCCCCGGGATGCTCCACGGCCTCCCTGGCAGCCCCCTTGCCCACCCCCCTCCTTGTCAGACAGCTAGTTGGAGGCTGGTGGCTTTGCTCCACTCCTTGTCTCATTTACATATGTGAATGATAACCCACAGGAAGTAATTGTGGGAGAAAGAAGGGAATTGGCCTCTTTAGATCTATTAAATCACTTTATTACAGGAACCAGCTTTGAATGGCCCTCCTCAGCAGGGTGGCAAGCCTCCCCTACTCTCCCATTTATCTGATCACAAAGAGATTAAAATCTTTCCTGGTCTGGAGATGGACTGGACAGCGTCCCAAATTTGGGGAGGCTGGAATAAAATGGGTCCTAGGGCTGCTGAGTAGGGCGAAACTGCAAGGCATGTGTCCCTTTATCCTCAGGGGTTCCTAGGTGATCAACAGCCCCTCCCGGGCTGGGGGCGGTCTGGGCAAGTGGGGTTGTGTGCCGACTCTTCCTGAGGATCCCGAGCAATGGAAAAGTACTGGGTGGTGTGGGGGTTTCAGCTTTGGGCAGCGAAGCCCACAGTGCACCGCTGGTCTAGCTTTGGGGGTACTCGGGGTTTTCTTGTCTCGGAACGTCCAGGTACCCAGAGTGGAATCAGTTACCAGGAGTGAGCTGAGTTGGGATAAAGAATCAAGAACGTGTTTCCCCAAGTCCCAGCTCTCCCAACTCTAGTCAAAGAGGGCAGTCATTGGCGGTGGTCCCTAACGAGGCCACTGGGGCTTGCTCTTCAGCCCTCCCCCGCCCCCACCTTTGCGGTAAGCTTGAAAGACTCCTCTGGAAGTCTAGTGGTAGAGGAGTTAACTAGATTTAGGATAGTCCCTAAGAATTGTGCCTTTGTAAACTGCTGGCGGAGGGCATCCTGGCTGAACCAACATCTGCTGGGGAAAGACGAGGACCAGGGAGCCCCGTTCCAGGAAAGCAGAAGGGGAAAAGCAACGTACAGACATTCTGCTTCCTAATCCACTGGTGCTTGTGAGGTTCCCTCCCAAATCTCACTATGCGCCCCCCCTCCCAAGATGTAGCAGCCCCCACCTGGAAAGCAAAGAGATCTCTGAGACCCTTTTACTCAGCCAAATCTGGGGACAGGGATTTAAGAATGTGGTGGCCAACTGCAAACCCTTAAATCAGGGTTTCTCAACCCCAGTGCTGTTGAGAATTCCTTTCCCCCTTGTCCCCAGGGGCTGTTCTTGTGCCCTGGATCAGTTACAGCAATGTCCCTAGCCTGTCTCCCCCCTAGAAGCCAGTTGTGACAACTACAGTGTCGCCAGACGTTGCCAAACCTCCCCTGGAAGGCAAGATCGCATCTGGTTTAAGAACCAGACTTACCTGGGGAATGCTGGCATGGGAAAGTGCCCGACTGAGACTCACAAAGAATGCTAAATCCCTGTGGCCATTTAAAGACTCCTGCTTTAACTCGTGTTTCCTGTGGCTGAATCCCCAAACTCCGGAGATTTGTAGAAATTTGGAAATATAGCCCCTCAGAAATCAGCCATGTCTTGGAGGCAAGTGAAAAACCCACAAAGGACCAAGTCGGGTTAGGCGGAGAAAAAAATTTCAATGCTAAGAAACTGCTCAGATTGCACTCTCAAGCCACGTGGCCTGCTTTTGTGAAAGTCCCCTCAGTCGGGATCTGGCTGGGGACCGCTGGGCTTGGGGGGTGGGGCGTCGTTCCCACCTGGCCCACATCACTTCCTTGTCACTCACCTCCAATCTCTGATGTGCGGCATAACCCCTTCTCTAGCTGTAAGCTGCAAGAGCTCTTCGAAAAGAGGGACTCTGCTGTCTGGTCTATTTTCTAGGATGTGCTTGGCAGGCTGAAGGAGTGGGTGTGGGAAAAAATAGGGCATCTTTAGGACCTTGGTGAAGCCAGGAGTTCCCTTAACTGTTGGACAACCTATAGCAGGGTCTTCCTCCAGGGAAAAGACTGGAGAGGGGGAGGCTGGCACCTGGGAGCTGCCCCCTTTCTAGACTGGCAAAGATGTGACCTGGCTCAACATGCATGTCACAGGACCGCATCTCTGAGCCCCAGACAGGGTCCTCTTGTTTCTGTTGATGGGCTGAAGGCACAGATTTGCTGGACGCTCATTATGTTATTTAATTTCCATCTACAGGAAGGAAAAGGAGAGTCTCCTTTTGGGAGAGGTAGTTGGGTAGACTCTTCTGGGGTCCTTCCTTGAGGACCAAGGAAAAGATGTACCCCCATCCTGAGCAAAGCTGCAAATAGAGTGACCTTGTGGGATTCACGGGTTTGGGAGAAATTGCCCTAGGTAACAACATTCCCTTCTGCAGGCTTCTATCTATATAGTCTGAGAGCTCAGAGGAGTGGGGGGTGGGTGCGGAGAAGACGACTTTCTAGAAAATTCCCTGGATCTGCTTGCAGACTGACTTAACAGTATGTCTCAGCTTGGAGTTATCTAACAGGAAACTGAAGTCCAAGGAAAGTTTACTAGTTTAGAACTCCAGGAACCTTTCATTCTTGCGCCACACTCCTTGAGCCTTGAGCGAGGCAATGGGTGGGGGCGGGAACTAGACACCCCACCCCACCGCGGTTAGGAGCCATGGAGTTGCAAACACAGGCATTCAGAATTCCGGACCAGGTAGCAGGCCAGTCCTCTAGGCCAGGCGCCCCTGGGCTTGCTTTGGGCGTTCAGGCTGATGAGCAGCGCCATCTGGTGGAAGAAGCCGGCCGTGGCTGAGCAGAGGCGATGCGGGCGGTTGACTCTGTAGACTGGTCTGGACATCTGTTTCACCGCATTTCCCAACCCTCCCTCACTCACATACACACTCCCCACACCACAGCACCAAGTAAACTGCTTCTGGGAAAACCGGTTGGTTTCCCAGCCCCTAGCAAACCCTACCTTCAGGAATGAAGCTCAGGTAGCCATCCTGGCTAGTTAAAATCAGCCCAGCTCTTGCCCCTTCTGTGACGCTGGTTAAAGTACTTATTAACTGCCCCCTCCCCAGCTTCCATACCCTCAAGCTGTAACATGGGGGTCATCCTAACGTGTGCCACCCAGCCTTGAATGGTGAGGGTTAAAAGACAACTCTGCCTATACTGAGCCTCAACTGACAATAGCCACCTTGGATAGCCAGGACTTGGTTTATCTAACAAATATTTGCACTGCTGGGAACCTAGCACTAAAGGTGGAGATATGCATTAGAGGATTGGAATGGCCCTGGGGGGTTGCACAGTGGCCAGACCCTCCAGCTTTGACCCCTGTGACCAGAGCAAGTATGCTGAAGCTGCCCCTGCTGCCACCTCTGTGCGAGGGGACCGTGACCAGGACTGAGGGGGAGCAGCTGCAGCTGGACGGGACCTCTTTACCGCTGGGGATGGGCCTCGCTGCCATACAACCAGAGCCTGGGCGACGTTCTCAGAGCAAGTGGAAAAACTCGGGTTGCTGTGTGGTTTTTCCTTTTTTTTTTTTTTTTTTTGTCCACATTCAGTGACACAAAAGTCCCCTTCTATTTCTAAACTTAGCCATAACCTGGTGCTGGGAAGGGGTACTTGGGTGGGGGAAGGTTAGAGTGTAGGCAGTTAGTGAGGTGTTAAGAAGGGGGCAGAGGCCCGAGTCCTTTAACTGCAGCAATTCCTTCTCTGCCATCAGGAAAAGAAATGTGTCCGTAAATGTCCCCCGTGCCAGGCTGTGGTTCCCTGAGCACTGCTCGCCCTCCTA